GAAGATCTTCCTGAGGAGATCCTGGAAGCAATCGGCAGCCGCATCGACCACCCAATCAACATTCTCAACTTCCGCTCCGTCTGTCGTTCCTGGCGCTCCGACGTCCGTACCCCTGACTTCCACCATCCAATTCCGCCCATTGAAGTCCGGCTACCGTACCCCGGCGACGTCGACGGCGTCCTCGTTCCCTCCACTATGTGCTTCGTGGAGTTTCACCCTCCTCCGATCCCCAATGGCGATTCGACCTTCGCCGTCGCTGGCGGTTGGCCGGTCAAAATCGAAGAAGCAAGCCACGGCAAGCTACAGCTTGTGGACCCAATTTCCAACCTCAAGCTCCGCTACACTCCAACCCAATTGAGCTTGGCCGGCTTCCGCGGCGTCCAATTGAGCTCCTCGTTACGCCTCACATATCGGGATGGATTCACAGCCTTCGAGGTGAATAAAGTTGTCGTCTTTCCCCACTCTGCAAATCCCCTGCCTCAACAGCAGAGTGTCACCGTCATAGCCATTTTCCATAAAGGCAGAATAGGGTATTGGAGAAACGGGGAAGAGGATTGGACTCCGTTAGACGACAGGATTTTCGATTACGACGACATAAGCATCCACCGAGGTCGGTATCACGTTGTCGACAGATTTGGGAAACTGTCTGTGATCGATTCGTCCCTGAAATTCGTGGAACCCTGCTCAGCGCCGTAGCCCCCCGACGGCGGCGGCTCCGGCCAGATGAATCTGGTGGAGTCCGGGGGAGATTTGTATTTGGTGGATAGATATTTGGATGGGAGGAGGAGGAATTGGAAGGATGTGGAGGATGCCATTGCCAGCAGCTTTCACCCAATCCGCCGCTTTGTGGGTACGGGGAGAGGCAGGGGATGGCACCCTAGAGCGGTGGATTTCAGGGTGTACAAATTGGATGAGGAGATGGGGGAATGGGTTGAAGTGAATTCGTTGGGCGGTGATGATACGGTGTTTGTGCTGAAGCCGGGGTGTTGTTTCCGACGACCTCATGCTCCACCTCGTCTCCAGCCTCGACTCCTGCGCCATTGATGAGCAGAAGCAGGCCACCATGGAGATCATGCTGCTCGCCAAGAACAAGCCCGAGAACCGCCTCAAGATCGCCAAAGCCGGGGAGATTCGGCACCATGGATCAGAATAGTGGTGGCGTAGCCATCTATTAAGTTTTATTTTTATATTTTAATAGTTGTAAAATGAGGTGGAAATTATAAATGTTTAAATTTTAATATTTTAATATAGGCCACGTCACTCATTTAACGGTCAACTATAATAGTTGACCGCCACATCAGCAAAAACTAACGGAGTTTAACGGAGAGTGACCAAACTTGAACTATTAAACTAATCTTAGTGACCATGAATGAAATTAAATATTTGTAGTGACCAAACATGAACGTTTTTAGTAAACCCAGTGACCAACCTTGCAATTAACCCTAAAAGAAAATGGAAGCTTTCCATAAATAACCATAACAAATACTGAAATGAACTGAAATCTCTTAAAACAAAGCCCTAACACTTGGGCAAACCTCAACCATAGAATCTTGATCTGAATCTCCAGTCACTACTCATAATCATAAATGTAAATAACTAATACTCTACTTTATTGTCTGCTCGGATTCGATCTATGGCACCTCCAGTGACGCTTGTACTATCCTCCTCTAGTTGGCTTGCCCCGAACAGCTTTCTCGATCTTGCTGCTCACTAACTGCTCCTCTAGCTGCAACTATCGATCTAATTCTCGCTTATCCCTTCACTAAGTACTGGTGAGTGAGATGGGGTCAGTCTACGCCCTTACGTTTTAATAATTCTAATACTTGAGTACTTTATTTAAACACTTAACTTTGACTAGTGGAAGTTGTTTGTACTTCCAATCTTAAAATCTTAACTCTTAAACTTTGAGGGAGTTGAAGTTACTCTCTTCTCTTAAAGCTCAAATCTTAACTTAAATACTTGACTAACACGGGGATCCCTCACTAGCTAGTCCGGTTGCCCAACTCATACGTATGAGAAGCCATCCAGGCTTTCCTTAAACTTAAACTTAGTTAGGGGAGTCGTAACGATTCATCCCCCTAACATCTTAAACTCATCGTGGTGGCTCTTCACCACGATTCTCAAGAGCATATATAACTGCTGCTCATCTTAAAAGTGTCAAGAGCATAACTGCTGCTCTATCTCAAAATGTCTCAAAAGGCAACGGACTGGCGCTAGTGACTAAAAATGCTTAAAACGGCTTCACCTTCTTGAAGGTGAATTACTTCTTAAAAAGACCTTGTTTCTTATACTCATAAAATTTCACCTTCTTTAACAATAACTTATACTCATAAAATTTCAAGGTACATAATAACCATTGACTTCAAGTCATAAGTCAAACAAGGCACATATCATCAACCATAATCATGCAGTCTCAAACATGAATCAAATACTGCACACGTAAATCAATACTTGAAAATACTCAAGGCAAATACTTGAAAACCATAAGGCGTAGAATTTACCCCCTTTACACTCACCTTAGTAATTAATCGATGAGTCTCTACCCTCATTAAGGATGGATCATCCCTGCGACCTCTGTTCGCTGTCAAGCCTCGCGGTTCCTCATCGTATCAACTCTTTCTCATATGCTGTAACATCCCATACATAGGTTAACTCTTTAACCATTTTGGTTCGATGGAGAACCAATGTTATAGAAAAAAATAGTTGGAGAGAAGAGATTGAAATGTAATGATCGTGAGTCCTCGCCAATTAAGGATATGAAAAATCTAGACAATAAATTTGAAATGAAGGTAATATGATAGAGAACAAAAATAAGAACACATGGACGCAGACGGTATCAGATTTCGCTATGAAACGAAGGAGTTATGAGTTAAACAGTGGAAGTCGCCCTAAACATTAGATAAGAGCAAAAAGAAAAAAAAATGTACATAGCCTAGGGTCGAACTAGTGACCTCCAGCCAATAAGACAAGTGTTACAAAACTAGGCTGCATGCTTACTATCAATGTTCATGAGGAATCTTTTTTTTTTATTAATATTGAGACGTAAATCCCAGGCCTAGTAAATGCATTTTTGCACCGACGGAGAGAGGGAGAAGACCAATTATACCCGACACAATTTAACATAACGGGTTAGCATATCTAATAATTTGGATACGATCATAGAGGGGAGAGTGACAGTTCTTTAAAGAGCCTTTAAACAAAGGGTGAGTCCTTTCATCTTTTTCCTCCATCCATAGACGACGAACAAAAACACGAAGAGAAGAGAGAAAGAAAGAAGAAAGGAAAGGAGAGGAGAGGAGACCAATCTTCTTAGACTTGCGTTATGATAATAGGGCGGTCCGGAAGCCAACTACGAAGTCAGAATCGCCATTGGAGGTTCGTAGAAGCTCATGGGAGGCTCGTCGGAAAGTTGCGTCGGCGGCACCGGCGTCGCCGACTTCAACAAAACTCCAAAAGGCTGGTACCATGACAAAGAGGACGACTCCAGGAGCGTGCACTTTTTGACGAAACTCGTTTTCGACGTCGGACGAGCAAGAACCGAGCTCCGCAAGTTTGCAACGTAAAACTGCCGTTTTACAAAACTCAGGTATCATTTCTGGGTGTTCGAAAATGTAGAGGACCTAGACGTAATTTGCCTAAGAGGTCACGGTCAACAGGATTCAGTTGATTGGAAAATGTTAGATTTGGTACCTGGTACTTCGTGTTTTGACAAAATTAGTATTTTGTCCACAATTCATTCGTTTAACGTCCAAACGACGACCCGTTTTCGCCTACAGGACTGTGAGAATGAGGAGAATATTATGAAACCAAGATCTGGAATCTTCAGAGCTTTCACAGAATCGGATTTCGTCATAAATAAGGTGTGTGGGCTTACGGTAAAAGGGAACAGGAATTACGTGTTTATTTCTAAATACGCATAATTGAGTTGATGATTAATGATTATGATGGATTTGTGATTGATTCATTATTGTGATCTTGGATGAAATTGTTGATGAAGTTAACTTATTTTTATGATAATAATAATTATTAATCTCGTATTGGTATTGTTGACGTATATGGTGAACTCCGAATATTTTATGAAAATGTTTATTGAGATCAGAATATGGAAAAGAAATTTAAGGAATTTTGAGACGACATTAGTCATGATATATTACCATGAGAATCATTATATTGGTAATAATTGAGTTTTTGGAATTAATTGATGTTATGACTTTAAAAAGGTTGAAATTGTGAATTTATAAATTGGATTAGATACGAGAAGGAATTCTGGTCATAATAATTACAGAATGGATTTGTGATCTTGGTTGGATTTTTAGATGGATGAAACCGGTTTCTATCTCCTTTTGTTATTAAAGAGATTATATTATGATTTTTAGAATAATGGCAATTTAATGGAAAATTATTATAAACTGAGTATGATGGTGAGATGATTATCACGAGATATTTTAATTAAGATTGAAGTTAAGTTACGTTTTAATGACAGGGATAATGACAGGGATATTGAGTGATAGTGATATGATTGACGTGTATGAGTATGACGTGATTAGAATATCGATTGGTATAAATGTGATTGGTAAATATAAATATTACTGAGATATTTTGTGACAATGTTGATATGATGAATGTTTTGATTAATGATGATGTGGATGAGATATTATCATGATCGATTTGTATTTGATATGTTAAATGATTACGATGAGTGAATGAGGTATTGATAAATTGAGTACTTGGTAGATTTGTCAAGTTTGATTTAAGAGAATGAATTATTTATATCATTGAGAAGATGATGATTATATTTAGATCGTGCAATGCATCAAAGTATGCATAGATGATGTGAGATATGCATGGACTGGGAATATCAATGGGACGCTGTTGATTTCTTGGATCGATTGAGATATGATGGAAGAGAAAAATTGATATTATTTGATCATGTTAAATCACATAGACATAGAAGGGCCTATACCTATCCCTATGAGATTGATTGGGCTGCGGTCCTAATGAAAGGATTTATGATAATCCTAGATTGGATGAGATTGTGGTTTTTTTTTTTATATAACCACTAAGATGATGAGCTCGAGCGGGGTGGGCGTATGGTGACCTTAGCGCGCAAATTAATAACAAATGGAGAGTCTGCATTTCATGCATTGCATATGATATATATGATCGAGATGATTTCCATAATGGAAAATCGTGAAGTTATATTCGATTGATGATTGATTGAAAGATTGATATGGTTAATGCCAAATTGGTGATTTGATTATGGATGAATGATTGATATGGTTATTTCCAAATTGATTATTTGATTATGGATGAACGATTGATATGTTTGATGTTCAAATGATGAATTGACTTTGAATGAAGGATTGATATGATGGATTCATGAGTTGAGGTAAGTTTACGATTTTATGTCGATATACGACTTGATTAATGAAAGTCATACCATGAGGAATTGGGTTAAAGTTTAATTTGGATTGATGACCTAGAAATAAATCTAGAGATTAATGAGATTTTCGTGTGGCATGATAATTTGTTGATGATGTGTTTTAATTAACAAGATGTGATGATGTGTTGGCATGCTAACAATAGTTTTGTCGTATAGGCCAGGTCCACGCACTCAGCTTAGTAGCTGACCCATTTTTCTTTCTAGATGTGACATGTGTGATAAATTTAGGATGACTCTGGCACTGCACAATGATCGATGGAGGATTTTGATTTAAAAGGTTTTTCACTTGTTGATGTATTCTAGAATCCTTATTTCATGATTCAGGTTGAGCATGCAAGATAGTTTACATTGGTCAAATATGATCATTAACTTGAGTTGAGCATGAACGGAGTTGACGAGATTGATAGTCTGGGTTATGTGAATCCTGAATTTGAGGAAGATGGATTGATGAATTGAGAATATGATTTTTAGTAAATTGTTATGATGAGTTGAATTTTAAACATATGAGAATGATGTGGATGTGAGTTGAGTCGAGATTTTGAAAACGTAAACCCCGAGTGATTTCCGCTGCGCGGTTGAACCATCGGTTCGATCCATGATTTTAGGGTGGGGTGTTACAAGTGGTATCAGAGCCCGGTTTGTTTTCTGCATTATAGGTATGTTACTTTCACTCTTGAGAACTGATCACTCTCAAAAGAGGGGCAGTACTCCATACTCGTATTTGCACTAAACTTCCAGGAGTTGAGACCAAACATGATGTTGTGATGCATAGTCAGAGTCAGTTGCATTCAATCAAAATGATTTCAAGCATTTTTAGAGAAACATTTGAAATGAAATCGATTTGAGAAGTCTTTTGAAGAAAGTCTTTTGACAAATCATTTGAGACGAAAATTGAAAAGTGATTTCCTCCTTCATGGAACCATTGATCTGTGCAAAAGGTGCCACATCCCAATTTAAGGGATGGAGTTTCCTGATTCAGGGGAAACAAGAGTTGAAAGAGTTAGTAGGAATTCTGCAAACCTTTAAGGATTGCGGATTTCATTTTGGGGGGTTTAGAATCCCAAGTTTCATGATATTAGTTGAGGTCAGAGAGACCCCATCTAATGATAACTTTTTGATACATTAGACTAAATACGTGACGAGTGATAACGTGGATTGAGGAAAAATAAATTTCTCGAGGATTGATGGAGCAAGATCGCTCAGTAGACTATTAAGTACGAGAATGAGTCAAGATGAGGAGACGTTAACTAGCATGCGGTGAAAATGATGACGGTTGATTGACAACGTGATACATCATCAAAATAATGATGCGAAAGGAAATAAATGACCAAAAGTTCAAGTCAACACCTTAAATGACAGAGGCACCAATAGAGAGTAAATGTGATGGGCGAATAATGGACAAGTTGGGAGCTAGAGTAAAAGCAATGAGCCCGGAGCTAACTCATGACATGATCAACTTATGATCGGTATGAGTATGCTAAAGCACAAAAGAGACGTGTGATAGCAAGCACGTAGCCAAAATTTAGAGGCGATATAGATTAAAATCTAAAGTGACAAATTGGTGCTATATGTTATCGGATGGTAACTGACACTAAGGGATTAGCATCATGAGCAAAAACGACGAAGCTCTAGATATATCCCCAAACCATGAATCAAATTCTTGATGAATAAACGAAGAGGATGGGAGGACGTGAAGAAAAATTCATCTCAAAGAATGAGAGTTTTCTTGAACACGATAAGGAGATGTTGAAGGTCTGAGACTTGATGCCTCATCTGGAGGAGACAAGGTTCTATTGCGAACAATCGTGTAAGCGATTGTGAAAGGAGACAAGCAAGATGACAAATCATTCATTGACACCATTTTATGACGAATGGTTGTGGAAGAGATCATGGATTACATGAGAATAGGCAATGCCTAGTTTTGTTTTGGAAGCTAAAGAACCCTAATGCCTAAGGTTGTGGAGAAAGGCTAGAAAAGTTGAAACACGTCCAGAGGGACCAACAAAGCATAAGTGGGGTAGTACGAAGAACTACAAAAAGTGTAGCCTCATGATACATGATTAACCTGCTTATGGCTATATGTCGACGTTATTCAATAGTTCCACTTATCAATTCACAACAACCAAGTGATAGGAAACATGAGAAAATAAGAGGGTTGACCATTCTCGGTGGCTTAATTAAGTGTTATACACGATGGAGTTGGTACGAAGGATGTGTACGACTGGATTGACCACACTTAGATTTCGGGGACGAAATCCAGTTAAGAGGGGGAGAGTTGTAACATCCCATACATAGGTTAACTCTTTAACCATTTTGGTTCGATGGAGAACCAATGTTATAGAAAAAAATAGTTGGAGAGAAGAGATTGAAATGTAACGATCGCGAGTCCTCGCCAATTAAGGATATGAAAAATCTAGACAATAAATTTGAAATGAAGGTAATATGATAGAGAACAAAAATAAGAACACATGGACGCATACGGTATCAGATTTCGCTATTAAACGAAGGAGTTATGAGTTAAACAGTGGAAGTCGCCCTAAACATTAGATAAGAGCAAAAAGAAAAAAAATGTACATAGCCTAGGGTCGAACTAGTAACCTCCAGGCAATAAGACAAGTGTTACACAACTAGACTGCATGCTTACTATCAATGTTCATGAGGAATCTTTTTTTTTTAATATTGAGACGTAAATCCCAGGCCTAGTAAATGCATTTTTGCCCCGACGGAGAGAGGGAGAAGACCAATTATTCCCGACACACTTTAACATAACGGGTTAGCATATCTAATAATTTGGATACGATCATAGAGGGGAGAGTGACAGTTCTTTAAAGAGCCTTTAAACAAAGGGTGAGCCCTTTCATCTTTTTCCTCCATCCATAGACGACGAACAAAAACACGAAGAGAAGAGAGAAAGAAAGAAGAAAGGAAAGGAGAGGAGAGGAGACCAATCTTCTTAGACTTGCGTTATGATAATAGGGCAGTCCGGAAGCCAACTACGAAGTCAGAATCGCCATTGGAGGTTCGTAGAAGCTCATGGGAGGCTCGTCGGAAAGTTGCGTCGGCGGCACCAGCGTCGTCGAATTCAACAAAACTCCAAAAGGCTGGTACCATGACAAAGAGGACGACTCCAGGAGCGTGCACGTTTTGACGAAACTCATTTTCGACGTCGGACGAGCAAGAACAGAGCTCCGCAAGTTTGCAACGTAAAACTGCCGTTTTACAAAACTCAGGTATCATTTCTGGGTGTTCGAAAATGTAGAGGACCTAGACGTAATTTGCCTAAGAGGTCACGGTCAACAGGATTCAGTTGATTGGAAAATGTTAGATTTGATACCTGGTACTTCGTGTTTTGACAGAATTAGTATTTTGTCCACAATTCATTCGTTTGACGTCCAAACGACGACCCGTTTTCGCCTACAGGACTGTGAGAATGAGGAGAATATTATGAAACCAAGATCTGGAATTTCCAGAGCTTTCACAGAATCGGATTTCGTTATAAATAAGGTGTGTGGGCTTACGGTAAAAGGGAACAGGAATTACGTGTTTATTTCTAAATACGCATAATTGAGTTAATGATTAATGATTATGATGGATTTGTGATTGATTCATTATTGTGATCTTGGATGAAATTGTTGATGAAGTTAACTGATTTTTATGATAATAATAATTATTAATCTCGTATTGGAATTGTTGACGTATATGGTGAACTCCGAATATTTTATGAAAATGTTTATTGAGATCAGAATATGGAAAAGAAATTTAAGGAATCTTGAGACGACATTAGTCATGATATATTACCATGAGAATCATTATATTGGTAATAATTGAGTTTTTGGAATTAATTGATGTTATGACTTTAAAAAGGTTGAAATTGTGAATTTATAAATTGGATTAGATACGAGAAGGAATTCTGGTCATAATAATTACAGACCGGATTTGTGATCTTGGTTGGATTTTTAGATGGATGAAACCGGTTTCTATCTCGTTTTGTTATTAAAGAGATTATATTACGATTATTAGAATAATGGCAATTTAAGGGAAAATTATTATAAACTGAGTATGATGGTGAGATGATTATCACGAGATATTTTAATTAAGATTGAAGTTAAGTTACGTTTTAAGAATACTTTTTAGCAATAGTTAATTGAGTATTTAATCGAAATATTGAAGATAATCCTATTAATGTATTTTGACGAACGATGAGGTAGATGGTACTTTTAGAAATAATTATTGAGAGATGTGTTATTAAGGGAGACCTTTTCAAATGAACTTTTGATAATAATGAGAATTATATATTGGGTATGGTCCTTTTAGAATGGTTTCAAGTTATTAATATAAATTTATGAAAACAAGATTTTGATCATAATATGTTTAGTTGATATGTTGATGAAATTAGTTAATGGACGATATGGATAATTTGATGTATTTTTATTGTTATTATATGGTTCGTATGATAAAATGATTTGATGACGAATAAAATATATATTGATTATTGATATGTATGATTATGGTATGATGATGATAATGACAGGGATATTGAGTGATAGTGATATGATTGACGTGTATGAGTATGACGTGATTAGAATATCGATTGGTATTAATGTGATTGGTAAATATAAATATTACTGAGATATTTTGTGACAATGTTGATATGATGAATGCTTTGATTAATGATGATGTGGATGAGATATTATCATGATCGATTTGTATTTGATATGTTAAATGATTACGATGAGTGAATGAGGTATTGATAAATTGAGTACTTGGTAGATTTGTCAAGTTTGATTTAAGAGAATGAATTATTTATATCATTGAGAAGATGATGATTATATTGAGATCGTGCAATGCATCAAAGTATGCATAGATGATGTGAGATATGCATGGACTGGGAATATCAATGGGACGCTGTTGATTTCTTGGATCGATTGAGATATGATGGAAGAGAAAAATTGATATTATTTGATCATGTTAAATCACATAGACATAGAAGGGCCTATGCCTACCCCTATGAGATTGATTTGGCTGCGGTCATAATGATAGGATTTATGATAATCCTAGATTGGATGTGATTGTGGTTTTTTTTATATAACCACTAAGATGATGAGCTCGAGCGGGGTGGGCGTATGGTGACCTTAGCGCGCAAATTAATAACAAATGGAGAGTCTGCATTTCATGCATTGCATATGATATATATGATGGAGATGATTTCCATAAAGGAAGATCGTGAAGTTATATTCGATTGATGATTGATTGAAAGATTGATATGGTTAATGCCAAATTGGTGATTTGATTATGGATGAATGATTGATATGGTTATTTCCGAATTGGTGATTTGATTATGGATGAACGATTGATATGTTTGATGTTCAAATGACGAATTGACTTTGAATGAAGGATTGATATGATGGATTCATGAGTTGAGGTAAGTTTACGATTTTATGTCGATATACGACTTGATTAAAGATGAATTTGGATTGATGACCTAGAAATAAATCTAGAGATTAATGAGATTTTCGTGTGGCATGATAATTTGTTGATGATGTGTTTTAATCAACCAGATGTGATGATGTGTTGGCATGCTAACAATAGTTTTGCCGTATAGGCCAGGTCCACGCACTCAGTTTAGTAGCTGACCCATTTTTCTTTCTAGATGTGACAGGTGTGATAAATTGAGGATGACTCTGGCACTGCCCAATGATCGATGGAGGATTTTGATTTAAAAGGTTTTTCACCTATTGATGTATTCTAGAATCCTTATTTCATGATTCAGGTTGAGCATGCATGATGGTTTACATTGGTCAAATATGATCATTAACTTGAGTTGAGCATGAACGGAGTTGACGAGATTGATAGTCTGGGTTATGTGAATCCTGAATTTGAGGAAGATGGATTGATGAATTGAGAATATGATTTTTAGTAAATTATTATGATGAGTTGAATTTTAAACATATGAGAATGATGTGGATTTGAGTTGAGTCGAGAGTTTGAAAACGTAAACCCCGAGTGATTTCCGCTGCGCGGTTGAACCATCGGTTCGATCCATGATTTTAGGGTGTGGTGTTACACATGCCTTGCCAACCGTAGCTTTAATTCACTCGATCTCGGAGCCACCTTCTCCACCGGCCGATCCGAGCTGCTGATGTCATATTATAGATCCACAAAAATTGATCTAATCTTCAATCTCGGGGCTTCCACCATTTACATATCCCTTAGTAATTCAAGATTGCCGCTCACCCCTCTCAATTTCCTTCTCTCCGCTTGACTTCGCGACCCAATAATCTCTTCTCTCAACGCCTTCTCCTCCTTACGCCAATAACCCCTTCTTGTCCCCTTTCATGTTCCAGGGTCGGTGATCTTTATATTGGGTTTCAATTGGACGGAGAGGAGATGACAAAAATAAAAGTTGAGCGGCGGTTGGAAGAAGGAAAAGAATGGCTTATTTAAATGGTGTCGAGAGTGGGGTGGGGTAATTACTAACTAGGGTGAGCTTAGGTTTAATTGACCCGGGGAATTTTCGGAATTTGACAATTTTGGGTGAGTTTATACGAACCTCAGTTAACTTCCATAATTTTCTCACTTCATGTTGAAACTCGACACTGTTTGAACTATTAGTTCACATTTTTAATCCTCATCGATAATACGGTGGAACTTGACCCAAGGGTATAATAGTCATTTTGACTTTTGGGGAAGAGCGGGGTGTAACATTTCCTCCACCCTTATAAAAATTTCGTCCCCGAAATTTGATTGGGCTCATCCTTCCATACTCCTCACTCTCGTGCTTCTTTGGCTCAAGATTTCACTCTTTCTATATGAACTTCAATGGTGTGCCCTTATCTTGTCTTGAATAGCTTACTATAGTTCTTATATGTACTCTTGACCATAACATATATTCTCATCTAGCTTGGTAGCATCGAATAGGTTTGAGTGACTCATTGCCCTTTTCAAAATTTGACTAACTGGCCTTTTCAAAATTTTCCAACTTGGGCCGAGGGTGTGATGGGACAAAATTTCGGCTCAATTTATTTGGTCCAACTGATTCAGTACTTGATGTTGAACCTATCGAATTCGAGGTATCACATTTCCTCCCATCTTATAGAAATTTCGCCCTCGAAATTTGTGATTACCCTAAGCATCGCTTGTGGTAATCCTTTTCACTTCGCGGATTTTTATTTCCTTTAACTTATACGACATGACCTAAAATCCTTCTCTCCATTCCCTGCAACTTCAATGTTGTTGTGGCTTCTTATCCCCTCACATTACCTCGGCTGCACCTTGTACATATGTCGAAACAATAAATATCTCCATTATTTGGTATACGAAACGTTAATGCTTCTCTCAAACCCCAAGGTTACATATGTCGGCTTATCCTCTATCCACTCAGATGGTAAAACTCTTTTACCGTAAATCTCGTCAGTAGTTGACCTCATAGGTCACCTAGGTCCTTGTATCTCCTAACTTGGCATCTCTTACTTTCTTCCTTGATGTCTAGCTCGTCTTATCCTTTAACCATAAACTGAATGGTCATCTCCTCGTTACTTCTTGCTAAACACAGAAACCTCATACTACTGCTTTTACTGTCTGTATGCATTAAAGGCATCTTTTGCATCTTTCTCTAGCTTGCAATCAGCCTTATGACTCCTTTCAAGAATCATGCCCTTCCATTTTGCATACTTGTTCACTCTCAGCGCCTAACTTAGCACTTCCCTATCGACGCTTAAATTTGGAGTTCTCGTACTTTATATCTGTCATTCTTAGACCTTAGATGAAATTCCTCGTACGATTTCCTTGTCCAAGAAATTTTCACCCGAGAGATTGCCACCTTTCACCAGCATAGGCAATCTTGGTTTCACTTTGAGGCATTCTAGCAGGTTCCCTAAACTCATTTCCATCTTACTTCCTTACTCGTGACTCCTCTTCCTGATGTTCCTTGCTAGTTCTAGATGTCCCTTGTTCTCGATGTAGTCCTCTGGGTTCCTATTTTCTCTTCTCATTTATGTACCTTGACAAATAAGGTTATCCCTTCGACTATTCTTGATGACCACGATTCCACCATACAATTGATTGAAATTTATCAATAGACTTTCTATAGACCAATTGTTCTCTATTGGTAATCAACCTAATGCTTTCTTGTTGTTTGTTGTATTCCTGCTTCGGCCTGTCCTAACTATCTTCCTTTACGCATTCATTATCCGGCCGACGACTACCATTTTTTTCCTATAGCGTCCTATGATGTTCTCCTTGCTTCTTTACTTTTACTACCTCTATGTTGTTGCTCTGTACTATATTTGGTCACCAACTCCTCTGAGCATCTTCTCGTTGTTGTTTTGGGTCAAAGCTTCCAATAGTGGCTTGCCCTTAGTAAGTTTTAACATAGCTCATTCACGTCTTTTGTCTTGATTGATGCTTGTACATTGGGTTAATCTCTTAGTTAGGATTCTTAGTGGATTAACTCAACGTGTCTGATTCATCCTTAACTAGCCGCCTCGTCTTGATGACATCCTACTAGGCCACACTGATTTAGAACGGGGCACCTTGGATAAGGTAACTTAGTGCTTTCTCTTTCTCGGTAGTTATTTCCTCATCGTACTTCTTTATGCAACTTTTTGAACTCAAGTCACCCACACATATTCTCAATCCTTCATCAGAACTTCCATGTGCTTCCTCGAATTCTCTGCCATTCGCTAGAATATTTATTGAACTTTCCACTTACTTGTCTATACTCGATTGGCTTAATGACTTACTCATATAGCTAGTTTTGAGACTTCAGCTCTTAGCCCCCTATTTCCCACTTACTATGGAGGTTCCTCCTTCTGTCACCCCTCACAAACCCTAGGTGGCTAGATGCTCCCTCCATTTAGGATAGGACCACCACATAACAGATCATCACGAACTCTTGCATTCCCCCTTCAACAGTCCCAACGACCTCCTGACCTTTCGTGATCTGGGTAGTTTGTAGTGTCTCTAATATCCTCTTTCTAGCTCGGTGCTAACTTAGTATTCAAATCACGCATTGCTGAGAAGTAGTTCTCTATTCGTACTCACTAACAGTTATTCTCTCTCACATTCCATGTCTTTTCTTACACATTGGCTCACCACTGTCTTCTACCAGGCATGCTTTAGACTTTGGTGGCAATTTCCTCCTTGTCTCGTCTAATGTTGGTCGTACTGAGACCATAACTTGTCCTCTACATCATTCATCTCATTGCTTGCCTTGTTCCTTCTAAAGGCTTGTCATCGAACTAACTCCCTAGGGTCATGTACCCTCTTCTCTAGTGATGTAGTTTGTCATCGAACTAACTCCCTAGGGTCATGTACCCTCTTCTCTAGTGATGTAATTTATCAATAAGGGTTCCTTTATCGTCATATGTAAATGAACCTGCCTCCTCTCCGCCCTGACCTATTGACTTCCTAACGTCCTTCCATACTCCCTGTAACTTACTTATTACCTCATTTGCTTCATTTATACTACCTTAGCTTTTCTTGAAGCCTAAGCTTTCCACTACTCCTTGTCACTGTGTTGTAATAGAGTCGAGCCATCAACGACTAAAATCAGTTGGGGGACTTCTGGTGCTACCTTTTCGTTTCTTGACTCTTTGCTTTCTCGCCACTGCTTAGGGTCAAGGACCTTGAAATCCTCACAGCATTATAGCTACTAACATCTAGTGACTGTAGCTCTTTCTTTGAAGATTCATAGTTCTCCTCTTTGTTTATCTTAACCTATTAGATCGTTTGCCAGTGGCTAAGTAGAAAATCCTCGTAGTGCACCTTCAACTCCTTCGATTCCTCGTACTTATCCCTCCGGATAACCCTTTGCGATTGACGCACCCTTTTATTAGGAGTAAAGTTATTTATCTTAATACGATTAGAGTAGACTGGAGATTCTATAGACTCTTAAAAGAAGATCCTTGACTCATTTTCCTTTCCTTTAAAACAAAAGCCTTAAAAAACTAAGACCGATATTCCAGTATTCCTTGGAAACCAAGAAACAGAGGAAGACCGGCTCTGATATCAAAATGAAACACCCTAAACCGGCCGGGTACTAATTTTACCAAAATTCCCTTGATGACTCATAAACCAAAATAAGAAACAAAAGACTTAAAAAACAAAATGGAAGCTTTCCATAAATAACAATAACAAATACTGAAATGAACTGAAATCTCTTAAAACAAAGCCCTAACGCTTGGGCAAACCTCAACCATAGAATCTTAATCTGAATCTCCAGTCACTACTCATAATCGTAAATGTAAATAACTAATA